ATGACTTTCCCAATCTGATAGATGTTCCTTCCAGGTGAGTTTAAGTTTGCCCTTGCTGAAAGACAAGAGATCTGAGAAGGAATCTCCTGGAAAGATTCCAGTTTTTTAGAGAGATTACTAAGTTTTTCCCAAAACTTCTGTTCTATGTTCTTGGCTTCATGGTCAAGAGGAAACTAATTCTGATGGTACAAGGTTTTCATACAGTGACAATGTCAGTAGAGCAGAGATTTTTGTTTCATCTACATCACCTCAGGGAAAATTCTTCCCTGCCACTCAGGGCTTAAATCTAAGCTGTCCACAGGAATCTTTTTCTGCCTGTTTTCCTCATAGTGTTTTTTTCATGATGCTGATTCTTCCCCAGGAGTCTGTGTTCAGCGTCCCAAGAACGAAGCTCCTCTGTCTTGTTGCTTTTCTGTCTTACCCTAAGTTGTTTCTACACTCTGTTCCTATATTCTACCTTACCCTAAATTTCTTCTTACCCAATATTCCTAATTCTACTCTTATTCTAAATTTCTACTTACACAATATTCCTATATGTAATCTGATATTTTTACTTAAATTTATAGATAGAAATTGAGAAAGAAACCTAAACAGAGAGAGAATATTCACTGCAGCCTCACTTTGACTTCTGACATTTCTATGAGCCACATAACTTTTACTCCTGAAAATAGAATACCCATGCATTAATTTATACTACAACCCCAGATATGCCCAAACTGCTTCTCACGGTGTCCCCAAACTCTCCTTTCACCAAGTCCCTGTCCCTGTTCAGGTGCTGTCTGTGGGAGGCCCACTCCCACTTTTTCCCCAGGCATGAAGAAAATTTAGATAGAAAGATAGAGGGAAAAGAAGACAGAAAGAAACACAGGATAGTCTGAGGAGGGCCTAGATCAACATCCACAGGCCCCTTCTGTCTCTTCAAAGGAGCTTTTCATAGGAATGCCAAGGGATGGGGTAGAAGACCTCCCCCTAGTTCAGCAAACCTTCCAGTCTACGCATGTGGTCAAGCCATCTCTTAATTCAGTCCTGCTAGGTTTAGCAAGCTCAGATCTTACTAGAAATCCTCTGTGAACCTCCACAATTATGTGTGTTTTTGTCAACATAATATTTTATTGATATTTTGGGTGTTTTACGTAATAGACCCTGATCACACTCACTTTCCTGTTTTCCCAGGTCCAACCCCTCTCTTGAGTCGTCTCATAAAATAAATAAGAAAATAAAAAAAGCCCAACTTGTATTGCCTATGTACACACTGGAGCCTGGCCAAATTCCAGTGGCCAGCCTCTCAAATAAAACTGAGTCCCTCCCCATCCCTACTACTGCCAAAAGCCATCAATTGTGAAGAAATACACTTCAGGATCCCTATCACAATTTTTTTTTTTTTTTTTTAACCATTTATATATACTTTTATTAAATCACACTCGAAATGACAATATAGTGCTATTTTTTTTAAAAACTGCAGGGCCAGAAAGATGCCTCAAGAAGCAAAGGCTCCAAGCCTGACTCTCAGAGTACAATCTTAAGGACCCACATGACAGAAGCAGAGATTCAGCTCCTGCAAGTATTCCTCTGACATCTACACCTGTGTTATGGCATGCACATGCTCACACACATAAACAAAACACATACCAGTGAATACAAACATATGAAATACATGTGCCTTTTCTCTTTGTTACTATTGTTATTTTTTATTTTTCTTATTATTCTTCCTGCAACTTTTATTTTTTTTTTTTATTTTATTTTTTTTTTAATTTATTTTGCAATACAATTCAGTTCTACATATCGGTCACGGATTCCCTTGTTCTCCCCCCTCCCGTCCCCCTCACCTCCCCCCCAAAGACCCCCCCCATTCCCATCTCCTCCAGGGCAAAGCCTTCCCCACAGACTGAGGTCAACCTGGTAGACTCAGTCCAGGTAGGTCTAGTCCCCTCCTCCCAGGCCGAGCCAAACAATCCTGCACCCTATCACAATTTTTAAGAGTTCTCTTCAGTAGCTACTAGTCTGTTTCTCTTTAGAGTGGTTGAGGTATGAGGATTGGGAGTTGTTTGGGGGCATGAAAGAGAGTTTATCACAGAAGACTTCTATGTCTCTGATTCTTAACTGTGAATCTGCAGTTATCAATACCACCACCAAGCAAGCTTTCCTGCCCTTTACAGTCATTGACATGATGGATCATGGGCTTCCACATGATTTCTTGTGATAGTACAGACAATGGACATCAACATAGCCTTCAGCAGCACCATGGTCACAGATATCCACATAGCCTCCAATGGCAACATGTGCCATGGACACGAACAGAACTTTAGGTGATAGCAGAAACCATGAACATCTACATGGAATTCAGTAGTAACAATGACCACTGATTTCAACAGGGCCTCTAATAGGAGGCCAGATCATGAGTATCCAGACAGCCTCCACCACGGCACAGATAACAGATACCATTATGGGCCTTGGCAACAGTCCAGGCCATAGATATTAGCAAGGCCTCTTGTGGCCCAAACCAGTTTTCTTATCCCAGTGCCATGTGAAGCTATGGTTTCAGAAGCTCAAGCCAGGACCAGTGGCCCACTGCTCTCTTCAGATCCACATGTATAACTCTTGGCCCCTTCTCTAGCAGCGTGTCTATCTGCACGCCACCATGTTTCTCCCCATGCTCATAGTGCACTAGTCCCCTGAACTGTCAACCGTTTCTACTTAAATGCTTGCCTTTGTAAGAGTTTTATGGTCATGGTGTCCCTTACAGCAACAAAAACCCTAAGGAGGCCAAAGATCATGTGTTTGGAGCTATAGGACCATGCTGGATCACTGGAATTGAACAACTGAAGACAATAAGTCTCCTTCATCCAGACTTTATCACAAGTCAGTAAGTAGCTCATGGTGGAGTCCCTTGAGTCCTTACCTGACCCATAATTAACTGCTGACAGGCCAAGTATTTTACATACCCAGTGGAGGCTGCAACATTCACATTTGCAATGTCAGGGTTAGACACAGAAGATAACATTTGCTGGCCTGCCCAATATTCTGGCTCTTACATTCTTTCTGCTTCTTCTTTCATGATGTACATATGTAGCAATGTCGACCATGTATTTCTTTCCATGCCTGTATCCAAATGATACATATCCATATCATCATTCATCAGGTCAGCTGTCCTATCAACAGCTTCTGTCATTTGCTCCTTCATATCTTCATATGATTAATCCGAATAAAAAGCATATTCAAAAATTTCTATCAATTCGTAGACTTCATCAAATTCTATTGAATTTACCATTGGGTCCACAGAGATAAGAAATGTCCCCTCTTGGTGAGGGTTTACTTCCTATCTTTCTAAAGTACGTTTTTAATGGAAAGAATTTCATCACTTTCATCCTCCCTTTCTGCCCTTCATCCCCACGACACCCATGCCATCCCTCGAGGCTTATCCATGACCCCTCTCTCAAGGTGATAACCTTTTTTCTTTGTTATTATTACTATATATTTGTGCCTGTGTGTGTTCATATACACAAGCACAACCTGATGAATCAGTTCTCTTTTGTTGTTTATGTCTATATCATTTCAGAGTATCAATACCACATCTAGAAAGTCTATCTTTACAGCAACTGGAGATCATCACAAAATTATGGGGATTCCAGCCCCATCAGGTACAGCTACATCAAAGCTCCTGATTCTATGACACAAGGGGCATCACAAAAGAGGGGACATAAAGAATGTAAGAGCCAAAACATCAGGATATCACCAGTGAAATAATTTCTCCCAGAAAGGGCTTGATTGTTTTTCTAGAAATGAACAAGATCAGAACAATGCAGTATCAAAGAACATATTAATATGGAAGAGGAAACTTTTCATGGTGTCCCATGCTTAGACAGGGAACTATTGTCAACTAATGACCACTAGAAGAAGGAGAATTAGTTTCTCGAAGAATTACCCTCTGGAATTTTTCAGATGAATGCAAAGCCATTGGACAAGCTAATCATCATCTTACTACTACAGGAAAAGCTATTGTCTCTCAACCTATTATTCTGGAACCAATGTATATACTGTATTTTCTATTTTGTGATCAGAATTGTTGAGAGTTTGTAGCAACATATACAGATTTTATTCGTAGTTATTTCTTAGGTTTTTATTACTTTATTTATTTACTGGATATGGGTAGCATACCAGAAGTTATGTGGAGATGGGAGAATCACTCATGAGAGTCAGTGTTTTTCCTTCCACTATGTGTTTCCTGCTGATTAAACATAGGAAATCAGCCTTGGTAGCAAGTGGCTTTACCTACAGAGATATCTTATTGACCCTTGTTTATTTATTTTTTGAGACAGAGTTTCTGTATCTTGTCCTGGCTTTTGTGGAGCTTACTTTGTAGTCCAGGTTGCCCTCAGACATTAAAATTATGCAGTCTCTACCTGCTAAGTGCTTAGATGAAAGGCATTGGCCACCAAGCCATCCCTGTTTATTTACTTTAACACAAGGGTTAGTGTGTTCCCACCTGGCCTCTTAGTCCTATGGTATGTAGCTGAAGATTAATTATATTGACCTGATGGTCCTCCTGTCAACACCTCCAAAGTGCTAGGATTTGGGGTATATACCACCACACTTGGCCTTTGGAGGCTAATGTTTGAAGCATGTCCCAGTCTGGACTCTAGGCTAACATGATATTCACTAGTTATCACAAGATGGCCACTAAACAAAGGTAATTCTCCTGCTTCAGCCTCCCTTGGGTTTGGATTACAGGTCTCTGCAACTGTGTGGGTAAGATTTCCTGTTTCATGGCATTGACGAGTAATGTCATTAAAATTAGTAGTTAATATAAGAGCTCCCCTCCTATTTAATTTGATTTCAATTAATAATTGAGAAATCTCCTGCTTTATTTCCAAAATATGAAACGTTAATCAAAATGCAGATGTTTTCCCAAAAATTCCAAGAATCCCTTATAGGTCTCCGTTAAGCATCCTTGCAGGCAGAGGGTCATTACTTTCTGTTCTTTCGAATGGTCTCTGGGTTAGTTACTGCAAAACCAGTATATAGACTGGCTCCTCTGGGACATTCCCTGCCTGCGAGGGAGGGGGTGCAGCTGTCTCCTGTCTGAGCTTCATGTTGCACAGCTGGGCATTGGTCACATCCTGGGGCTCTTCAGATTGTGCAGTCTGCAGTGGGAGAGAGTGAGAGGAAATACATGTCTTGGGGGAACAAGGAGGACTAGGGAGGAACAGGACCCGCCTGAGTGTCCATCACTCTGTCCTTTTCTGCTTGTCCATCTTTTGTGTCCAGGACTTCTCCTAACATGACAGAAGGTAGGACAGCTCCTGCCCTCCTGAGCCTGGAGGGTTTCACCTTGGCATGTATATCACCCAAGGGGCCTGCCTCAGTTGGTCTCTGTAGAACAGAAGTAGTGATGTACAGATAGTGTATCCCTGTTCCCCTTGGGATCTCCTCTGGTCAGGTCTTCACAGCATGGCCAGACTGAGCTATTTAGGCTTCCTTCCTACAGCTCCGGCTTCTAATCTTGACACTGTAACCCTTGCTGTCTTGCCTCCAGCCACACAATCCAACTTCTAAAAACTAATGTTTCTTGGGGAAGATGGCTGGTTCAGTTGTTAAGATCACTGGCTGCACTTACAGAGCACCCAGGTTCCCACAACCCACATGGTACTCTGCAATCATTTGTGATTCCAGTTCTAGGAATGTGACATGCTTTTCTGACCTCTGCAGCACCAGGGAGACAGGTGGTATACAGATATGCATGAAGGCCAAACACCCATACACACGAAATGAACTATAAAATGAAATGATTCTCCCCAATTTCCTTTGTCCTGCCGAGTCCCCTGCCTACAGTTGCTGGCCCCTTAGCTGTCTCTGTGATCTTGTCCATGTGGGTTTCCTCCTCAGATGACACTTTTCAGAGTCCTCCCTTGTACTTCACACTGGACCTCTGTTCCCACATACTCCAGCCACTTCTTCTGCTTGGTTTTCCCAAACACTTGGCACTGCACACACTGTGCATTTATTACCATGTTGATTTATGGTGATGAGGGAGTGTGCTCTGTTCTCTAACTCATATCCATGTAGGGAGCTGATAAGGAGGGGCTTTCTTGTGAAGCTGTGTCAGTGAATGGGGGTATTGGGAGGATTTGGATTACTTAGTCCTATGACCTCTGATTTCTTAGGTGCATATTAACAACCAGACTGATGCTGAGAAGCCAAAGAGGTGACATGAGGGAGGAAGCAGATGGTCCCAGGAAACCAAGGGTGAGTGAGGCCAGAGCACACAGGAGGCAGACGGTGCTTGCAGAAGGGAGTGGTCACCTGTGGGTGTTGCTGAGGGCTCAGAGAGGAAGAACAAATAAGGACTCCTGGACTAATCTGGGACCTAAGTCCTTAGCACTGCCAATAGAGACAGGGACCTCACCCAACTGTCCAGCTCCACACCATGCTCAGGCTGCATTTTCTCCACTGAAGCATCTGTCATAGAAGAACAAAAGAATGTCTTCAGAGAATAGTCTAGGGCTATCTCAGACCCCTGGTTTCCTGCATGCCCCAGGTGGGACCAGGGAACAGGGCGTGTTATGATATCCATTAGTTCATAGTGTGAAGTTCAAGCCCAATTAGCAAAGACCCCAGAGCCTCTCCACCACCCCTGAAACGCTGAGTCCTCAGACATCTCCTTCCCTGGGACCCTCTTTATCTCAGAAAGGTTTTCTTCCTGCAGGAAGTTGCAATTCTGTCTCTTTCTGGGCTGAAAGAGAAAGAAGGGTCTGATCTAGGAGGGTAGTAAGCTACACTCCCAGGCATATTTCCATGTAAAGAAGGAAAAGAGCTTCATAACATAGGCATGAGTTAGCAAATGTCCTAGGACATGGTAACGCTCACAGAACACCCAAAATCTCACAGGTTCTGAGAGCCTGTGTTTTCTTATCTGAGGTCTGTGTTTCTAAGCTACTGTTCCCCCATTAGAGGTTTCCCTAGTGCTAGTGTTCTGATTCCCTTCTTAGATGGCACACAGGGGAGCCTACCACCATCTGAGACCCCAGAAACCCACACCCTACTCACCATCCTTCCTGCATTTGCCCTGTTTCCTTTGCCTGAGGAGGAAGATGAGGATGAAGAGGAACAGGTTGAAGGCCACAGATGCCCCAATCAGAGCCTGGAGGTATTTTTCCAAACCTGAGGCATAGGATACACCTTTTGTAAACCTAAACTTAGTCTGAGCTGCTTATCTGAGCACCCACAGTGTGCCAGGCCCATGCTGTACCTTTTCACCCACCATCTCCCCTCCTCACAATCGTGCCACAGGAATTGTCTGTTTTCCTATCCAGCCAGTTCACCTGCCTGAGATCACCTGACTGGAAGAGGAAGAGCTGGAAGTTGAACACAGGGACTCTGAGGTCCAGCCATGTTCTACACACCATAGCTGAGGATCACAAGCTGGGAAGGAGGAGCTGGAATGCCCTACCATGGCGTTTTGCCCCACACTTGCACATGTCACCACCACTGTGTGACATCCCCAATGCAGAATCAGGTTCTGGAGTCCTCCTCTATCAAGAAAGACATCAGTACAGGAAGACAGACCAAAGCAGACAGAAACTTAAACATGTGGGCCAGGATTCTCACCTTTATAATCAAAGAAACAGCAGCCATCCCAGAAAGGAAGGGCCTGGCGAAGTCAGCATCTCAAGAAACAGCTGTTTCAAGCCTATAACCAGCTATTCCCCATCTGGATCCCACATTCCAAAAGAATATTTACTTTTCTGGAACCTGACTCCATGCAGGTGAGTGGTTTACTCTCAGAGTCTTTATGACGGATGGGGAGGTGAATGTCTGCTTTCCCTGCTCTCCACCTCACCCTCTCCCCTCAATCTCTAGGCTGAGACTAATCTTTTCTCTCTGGGTGCCACCTTTTGTAACCTAAACTTAGTCTTGTGTTTCTTGAGTTTCATTTGGGATTTCTGCTTGACTCCCACACTCAAAAGTTGAAATGACAGAGAAATGAAGACTTCATTGGGGTGAGGCAGCCTGGGGATGGAGCATACTCCCTGCACTGAGGTCCCTGATACTTACCAGCTGTTGTCATGGGCCTTGAGGGTGGTGGGCTGGAGACTCCAATGGGTCCTAGGAAACAGAAGAACAAATTGATGATGTTTAGATGCTAACCCAGGAGTCCTGACTCTTTTCACTGTCGCACATCTGTCTTGGAACCATCCCCATGATTCTCATGCTGTCTATCCCTAACCTAGATTGCAATAGAGGATGGAGTGGACATTACTTGATAGGCCATCACTGGCATCCACTTTTCTACTAGGGAAATTGCCTTCTGACTAACGCTTCCTACTGTCTGCCAAGTCAAGAGCTCACTTAAGGTTTGAATTGTGAGTCAGCCTGACAGCTCAGGGCCACCTCACCTGAGACAATGAGCTCCACGGGGGCACTGGCATATGACAACAGGTATGGTGATGAGTTTCCAGAACCATAGCACCTGTAGCTTCCTGAAAGGGCAGAGGTCACAGCACTCATGGAGAATTCTGCCTGGAAGTGCTGATCTTGGACCTTAGATTTTAGTCGCTGGGGATGATGGACTGCCTCCTCCTTGTACAGAATGAAAGTGTTCACTCTTTCTCTTGACCAACACAGAAGGGTCACGTTGTCTCCTGGATGTACTGTTGAGTTAGGCTTCACTGAGAGGAAAGCAGGGAAGAAAAGCTGTCCTAAAGAGAAGAGGAATGATGAGAGGCTGTCTTCATTGTTCTGAGCTGAAACCATACATGGGTATCCCCTAAGTACCAGGGATTCTCTCTCTTTTCTCTGACTGAGCTCCTCTCCTACTGTCCTGTCTCTTCATCAGTTCCTGCATCATTTCTTTGTCCCTTGTCTCAGCCATCATCTCTTAGGATTCCCATGAAATTCTATGCAGAGGATGTTACCTGATCAAATCTCCTTGGTTGCTCACCTGAGATCAGAATGTCCAAGGTGTCACTGGAGGCTGACCACTCAGAGGAGAGGTTGTGTGCACCATAGCATCTGTATTGGCCTCCAGTAGAGCTGTTCACAGAGCCGAGTGTGAAGTTGGCCAAGGAGAGACCAGCCTGGGTCCATTTGTGATGATGCTGGGTGAAGTTAGTTGTGCCCACCTTGTACAGAAGAAATCTATCATAGTTGATGTCTGAGCAACACTGCAATGTGAGACTCTTTCCAGGGTCCAGGATATGGCCTTGGTGACTTAAAAGGGAGGGTTTCTTGGACAGCCCTAGAGGAAAGGTGACAGGCAAAGGACTGAGGAGCAACTTTTACCAAACTCCTATCAGCTATCTTCCTGCTCTGCACAAGCCAATGCTTCTCTCCAGCTATGGGGCTCTGGCTTAGAAAACAGAATCTTCCTTTAGTCCCTCTCCAACAGCAACTTCCCAGGGGGACAGTGTCCTGCCAAAGACTTAGGCTCTCAACAAGACTGGTCAAGGATGGGGATGGCTCACCTGAGAAGTGTATTTCCAGAGGGTCACTGGGTACTGACCAGAACTGTGGGGTATCCTTGTAGTAGCCATAACATCTGAATGTTCCTCTGTGTACTGGGGTCACAGGACCCATAGAGAACATGGCTTGGTAGTACCCATTATGGCGTATATACTGTGAGTCCAGGGAGCTGGAGAACTTCTCATCTTCCTTGGAGAGAATGAACTTGTCATATGCCCTCAATGAAACACACTGAAGAGTCATGTTTCCTCCTGTGGTCACCACATTGCCAGGCAGGGCAGACAGGATCGGTTTATTTCTGTAGATTCCTAGGAGAGAAGGAGATAGCCTTTTCCGTGGGCTCACTCAACCAAAATGTCCTCCAGGGCTAGGCTTTGGAAGGGAATACTTCTGAAAGCAGAGCCTGGTCCTGAGACCCTCACCTGTCACCACAATCTCCAGGGGGTCACTGCGTTCTGACCAGCCAGCTGAGCTGTAACAGTAACAGCGATATTTTCCCCCATGTTGCTGTGTCACAGAAGGGATGGAGAACTTGGCCTTGTTGTCAGGTTTCTCTGCCGGCTGTGTGCCCCAGGATTCTGGGCTTCCCTCTTTATGCAGAACATATATTTCTGCATCTAGGCTCCCCTGACACCAGATGGTCACGGCACTCCTGGAGGCAATCACAGAGCCTGGCTCAGCCTTGATGGTGGGTTTGTGGAGGTTACCTGTAAGGAAGTAGGAGAGAAGGAGGTGGTTCTGGTTGAAAGTGGCACAGAGAAGGTCCCACGTGTAGATGGCAATTAAGTTGATACAAAGAATCAGAAAGCTCCATGAATATTAAACTCTCTCCTGGACCTCCTGGGTTTTTCTATCACTTTCTGCTTGGATTCTGTATCTCTGGTCCTTCTGTCTCCCCTGATCTGCATCAATGGACTGAAGAGCCCTGTCTCCTCACATACACCACACACCAAGGCCTCCCTCCACACTTCCATTATATCAACATCACTCTGTGGAAAGATTTGATTCCCTACCTGAGAGCAGGAGCTCCAGGGGATCACTAGGTTCTGACCACACCTGTGGTCTGTTCAGGTCATTGCTGTAGCATTGGAATATCCATCTTTGACTGGAGATCACAGGGCCCACAGAGAATAGAGCCTGGAATTGTCCAGTTGCGGAATTATACTGTGAGCCCAGAATCCAGGAGAGCTTCTGTGGTCCTTCCTTAGTCAGAATGAACCTGTCATATTCCTCCCATGAGTCACATTGGAGGGTGATGTTTCCTCCTTCAGTCACCACAGGGCTGGGCTGGGCTGACAGGCTGGGTTTACTGTGTGCTCCTAAGAGAGATGCTAGAATCAGATTAATGTATCAGGCCTCATTATCCTACAGGACTGTGAGGAGTGAGGGCATCCCTGAGAGCAGACTCCCTTCTGGAGAGTGAAGCCCAAAGATGACAAAAGTTTTTTCCTCTCACCTGTCACCACAAGCTCCAAGGACTCACTGTACTCAGACCATCCATCATGGGTCCGATAGCGACATTGATATCTCCCTGCGTGGTGCTGCTCAGTTTTTGTGATGGAGAATTCAGCCTTGTTCCCAGGCTTTAGGAGAATCTGTGTGAACCGTGTATATTGACTTCCATCTTTGTAGATAGAGTACTCTTTGGCTCCTGTTGTACCCTCACACAAGAAGGTCACATTAGTCTGTTTGGAGACCACGAGGTCTGGCTGTGCTCTGAGGACAGGCTTAGGGAGGGTCCCTGCAAGGAAAAGAGAAGCTAGGACCCAAGACATCCATTCTCAGATTGAAAGTATCAAACACATCATAGTTCATCCAAACCCAGGATCAGCACAAAGGTCCTGTTTTATCCTCATTGCCCAGGCATGTCTCCTGGGTAATAGAGGTATAACATATCAGGACAGCTGCATACTCACCAGTGAGCGCTGTGGTCCCAGGGCACAGAGTCAGTCCTGGAAGATAGATCTCAGTGAGAAGTTTGTCCCTGAAGTTTGAGCAGGTCCTCCCTTCCACAGAACCTCCTGAGACCCTGGGTTTTCCTGATGGGACAGTGCTAGGCTGTGGGACAGGTTCATTCCTAGGTCACTGTATCACCTCCCCATCTTCACAACTCACCCAGGCACAGCAGAGCTCTGAAGGTGAACATCATTACATCTGCTCCTGGAGGCTGCAACTGTGCTCATGGGCAGAGCTACAGAGTCTGCCTAGGGGGACAGGAAACTAGTGTGGCTTCTGGAGGCAGGCACTCCTGATGACATAGTTGTACTTCATTGGTCCGGCAATAAGGGGAGCCTTGCTCCTCACACACAAAGTTTTGACTTCCGCAGTGCTGTGTCTAGGCCAGGAGCTAGACCCTCTGCAATCAGCTCTTACATAGAGAACATTCCTACAACCCTGTCAATGTCGGCTGCATCTTCCTCATCACCCTCAGGTCCATACTGTAGCCATCAGGTGTGAATATTTCAAATAATATTTACAAATATAAATGTGGTTTTGCCTTGTTGCTTCTCACATTTTTAGTTGAAATACTTCCTCCTTTTCAACATTTTTTAAAGTCTCTTAGAAGGGTCTCAATGTCTATACCTGCATGGAATGGAATGCATAATCTTCTTCCTCCTGGTCTCAAGGGCTGGGTCACAAATGTGCACCTCTCTTTCTTGTTGTGAGCTCTTTTTTCGGATGGTACTTGCCAGTACAATTTTTAAATTGCATTTGTTAATTTTTCTAGTTACTCCTTTTTTAAGTGGTGTTCGTGTGTGTGTGTGTGTGTGTGTGTGTGTGTGTGTGTGTGTGTGTGTGTGTGTGTGTATGTGTGTGTGTTCAGGTATATATGCCACAGATCAGGCATCAAGTTCAGAGAAAAAATTCAGTGGTCAGTTTTCTCCTTGTATAATATGGATCCTGTCAATAGGAGTCAGACCTTAATGTTGGCCGCAGGCATCTATACACTGAGCCATCTAACAGGCCCAACGCTTACATATCCACTTTCCTTTGTTCTTTTCCTTTGGTCAGAAGGTTTGTATGGTGACTGGGATCTTGGACCATACAGGGATGGCACAGGGTGTTGGTGTGGACACTTTCTTTCCATCGTTAGCCATACATTGGTGCAGGGGTGGGCAGTACTTGTGAGCAGCACTTCATCTTCTTATCACAGTTTTATTCTTGGTTAGGCTGGTGAAGGGATGGCTATAGGATGCCTCCACACAGCCACAGCACCAGATGCATTGTAGACTCCTGTAAGTTGTAGTATGCAAGGTGAAGCCACCCTCTATCCGCTGCTGGCAATATCTGCAGCTTCTGGTCAAGGGGGATGCTTTCTTGGTCCTAAATCTCAGCCTTGAGATTCTCAGTGTACTACTGAGTTCAACCTCAAAGGTAATGATTTTTAAAAAATTTTATTAAGAAGTTTTTATTCATTTTACATGCAAATCACAGATTCCCTTCTCTTCCCTCCTCTCACCTCCCCCATCTTATGCCCCATACCCTCCTCCGAAATGGTAAGGCCTTGGGGAGTCAACAGAGCCTGGTACATTCAGTTGAGGTAGGTGCAAGCCACTGCTCCAGCATCAAGGCTGTGTAAAATGTCCCGTTATAGGTGATTGGCTCCAAAAAGGCAATGCAGGCACCAGGGATGGATGCTGATCCTACTGTCATGGCGCCCCTTAAGCATATCAAGCTACACAACTGTCTCACTTATGCAGAGGGCCTACTCCAATCCAGAGGAGGCTCCACAGCTGTTGTTCTAAAGTTCATGAGTTACCATTAGCTTGGTTCAGTTATCTCTGTAGGTTTCCCTATCATAATCTTGATGCCCCTTGCTCACAGAATCCCTCTTTCCTCCCTTTGACTGGACTCCTGGAGCTCAGTCTGGTGCTTGGCTGTGGATCTCTGCATCTGCTTCCATCAGTTACTGGATGAGGCACTGTGATGGCAGTTAGGGTATCCCCTGATCTAATTACTGGGGTAAGCCAGCTCAGGTACCCTGTCCACTATTGCTAGTAGTCTAAGCTGGGATCATCCTTGTAGATTCCAGGGAACTTCTCTAGGAAAGGGTTTCTCCTTATCCTCATTATATCTCCTCTTTCAATGTATCTATTTCATTTCTCCCCCACTATGTCCCTATTCCAGCTCAACAATCCTGGACCTTAAGTTCTCATTCCCCATCCCCTACCCTATATTAGCTCTCCACCCCCAGTTTACTCATGGAGATCTCATCCATTTCCCCCTCTAATCTATGCCTGTTCCTCTTAGGATCCTCCTTGTTAGTTAGCTTCTCTGGAGCTTGGGTTATAGTCTGGTTTGCTAAAAATCTAGTGTCCACTTTTGAGTGAGTACATACCATGTTTGTCCTTCTGAGTCTGGGTTGCCTCACTCAGAATGATATTTTCTAGTTCCACCCATTTTACTGCAAATTTCATAATGCCATTTTATTTTTACTAGAGAGTAGTACTTCACTGTGTATATGAATCACATTTTTTTTGTCCATTCTTCCATTGAGGGACATCTAGGTTGTTTCTAGATTCTGGCTATTATGAATAATACTGCTGTGGACATAGTTGAGCAAGTGTCCTTGTGGTATGATTGAGTATCCCTTGGGTAGATGCCCAAGAGTGGTACCATTGGGTCTTGCAGTAGATTGATTTCCAGTTTTCTGAAAAATTACCATACTGATTTCCAAAGTGGTTGTACCAGTCTGCACTCCCACCAACAGTGGACTGTTCCCCTTGTTCCACATCCTCTCCAACATAAGCTGTCTTCAGTGTTTTTGATCTTAGCCATTCTGTTAGGTGTAAGATGGTATCTCAGAGTTATTTTGATTTGCATTTCCCTGATGACTAAGGATGTTGACAAATTCCTCGAATGTCTTCAACCATTTGAGATTCTTCTGTTGTGAATTCTCTGGTTAGCACTGTAGCCCATTTTTTACTTAGATTGGTATTTTGATGTCTAGTTTCTTGAGTTCTTTATATATCTTGGAGATCAGCTCTCTGTCAGATGTGGGGTTGGTGAAGATCTTTTCCCATTCTGTAGGCTGTCATTTTGTGTTACTTACCACGACCTTTCCCTTACAGAAGCTTCTCAGTTTCAGGAGGTACCGTTAATTAATTGTTGTTGTCTGTGTCTCTGCCTCTGATGTGATATATAGGAAGTGGTCTCCTGTGCCAATGTGTTCAAGGCTTTCCTACTTTCTTTTCTATCATGTTCAGTGTATCTGGATTTATGTTAAGGTCTTTCAACCACTTGGACTTGAGTTTTGTGCATGGTGATAGGTATGGATCTATTTGCAATCTTCTGCATGCTGACATGCAGTTATGCTAGCACCACTTCCTGTAGATATTTTCTTTTATCCATTGTATAGTTTTGATTCTTTGTTAAAAATCAGGTGTTCATAGGTGTACGCATTAATGTCATGATCTTCAATTCTATTCTATTGTCCCATGTCTTGGTTTTGATGCCAGTACCAAGCTGTTTTTACTATTATAGCTCTATAGTAGATCTTGATGTCAGGGATCGTGATGTCTCTAGGAGTTGTTTTATGTACAATATTGTTTAGCTATCCTGGGTTTTTTGTCTTCTCATATGAAGTTGAGTATTGTTCTTTCTTTCCAGGTCTGTGAAGAATTGTGTTGGGATTTTGATGGGGATTGCATTGAATTTGTAGATTGCTTTTGGTAAGATTGCCATTTTTATTATGTTGGTTCTACATATCCATGAGCATTGGAGATCTTTCCATTTTCTGATACCTTCTTCAATTTCTTTCTTTAGAGACTTAAAGTTCTTGTTATACAAAGTCTTTTACTTGCTTAGTTAGAGTTACCCCAAGGTATTTTATATTATTTGTGGCTATTGTAAAGAGTAATGTTTCCCTGATTTTTTTTCTCAGCCTGTTTATCATTTAAATATAGGAGAGCTACTGATTTTTTTTAGATAATCTTGTATCCTGGCACATTACTGAAGGTGTTTATCAGCTGTAGGAGTTTATGGTAGAATTTTTAACATCACTTATGTATACTATCATATTGTCTACAAATAGGGAAAGTTTGACTTCCTCCTTTCCAATTTGTATCCCTTTGATCTCCTTTTGTTGTCTTATTGCTCTAGCTAGAACTTTGAGTACCATGTTACGTAAATATTCAGAGAGTGGGCAGCCTTGTCTTGTTCCTGATTTTAGTAAAATCGCTTTGAGTTTCTCTCCATTTAATCTGACGTTTGTAAATTACCTTTGTTATGTTTAAGTATGTTCCTTGTATTCCTGATCTCTCCATGACCTTTTTCATGAGGAGGTGTTGGAAAGGCTTTTTCAGGATCTAATTAGATGATCATGTGGGTATTTTTTTCAGTTTGTTCATATGATTGATTACATTGACAGATTTTCATATGTTGAACCATCTTGCATCTCTGGGATGAAGCCTACTTGATTATGGTAGACAAGCTTTTTGATATGCTTTTGTATTCAGTTTGCATTATTTTATTAAGTACTTTTGTATCAATGTCCATGAGGGATATCGGTTTGTAGTTCTCTTTCTCTGTTGCATCTTTGTTTGGTTTGGGGATCAGGGTAACTGTAGCATCATAAAAAGAGTTTGGCAATATTCCTTCTGTTTCTATCATGTAGAACAATTTGAAGAGTACTGGTATTAGCTCTTCTTTGAATATCTGATAGAATTCTGTACTGAAACCATCAGGTCCTGGACTTTTTTGGTTGGGAGAGTTTTAATGACTGCTTCCATTTCCTCAGGTGTTAGAGGTCTATTTAAATTGTTTATCGGGTCTTGATTTAATTTTGGTATGTGGTACCTATCCAGAAAATTGTGCATTTCCTTTAGATTTTCCAATTTTGTGGAGTACAGAATTTTCAAGTATGACCTGATGATTCTCTGTATTTCCTTGTTGTCTGTTGTTATAACTCCCTTTTCATTTCTGATTTTGTTAATTTGGATGTTCTCTCTCTAGCTTTTGGTTCCTTTAGATAGGCGTTTGTCTATCGTATAAATTTTCTCAAACAATCAACTCTTTGTTTTAATGATTCTTTGTATTGTTCTCTTTGTTTCTATTTTATTGATTTCATCCCTCAATTTGAATATTTCCTGGCTTCTATTTTTCCTGGGTGTGTTTGTTTCTTTTTGTTCTAGAGCTTTCAGGTGT